GTCTGCGCCTTCTGTACGGCGACGAGAAGAAGTCCCAGTCGTTTGCGTCCTTCGCGAGCGAAAATGTGGAAGAGAAGTGGGGCTCGGTGCTGCAGGCAGCTTCCAAGAAAGCAAGCAGCAGCTCCTGCTCACCAGCCCTGCAGAAGCACGCACGCACCGTGGCAGAAAGCAACACCTTGGCACAGTTCGCAAAGTACTTGGTTTTCGGCATGTACCCTGTCGCTTCCGGTCCCCTGCTGCAGCCCGCGGATGCGCGCATTCATGACTTGAGTCGAGCCTTTCTGGAGAACTTGCTGAAGGCCTGTGGGCTGCTAGAACAAGCGAGCAACGGGAGCAATCCCACTCGGCGGGTGATTGAGCCGAACAGGATGATGGAATCAAGCGGAGGCGGTGGAGGCGGCTCGCCTGCCGTGGGGGGGGTAGACCTAGACGCGCAAATTTACGTGACAAGCGAGGATCTCGACGTGACCCGCTACCAACTAGACCAATGCAAGAAAAGCCAGGGCGGTGCGTCCACGATACTGGAGGCGTTTCCCTACGCAAGCCGTGAACTGTTGCGGGGCCTTCTGGAGTCCGTGAAGACTGAAAAGCGATACCAGCAGATCGCATCCGAGATCCTGCCGCAGCTTGGCAAGGTGAACGCGGTGAAGATTGTTCCGCACGGCTGGCAATTCCTCCGCATTTCGTTGAAGGCACAGACGGTGACAGGCTCCTGTAGCTCTGAATTTCAGAAGGTGGGGCCCTCTCTGCCAAACAACCTGGTGACGCTGTTTCGTCTCTGGCAGGCGCGCACGCAGTCCGCGCTTTGTGTCGAGGAGCTGGGGCACGACGCAATGCGTCCGCAGGTGATTCCGCGGGGACAGAGGAAGGTTGGCGACAAGGATCGTGGTGAGGAATCCGCTGCAATCGACCGCTTGCGCAGCGGGCTCAAGGTCACTGCGCGTCCGGCGCCGGTGGATGAGAGCCTGGCTCGGGCCGCTGCGGAATTTGCGGAATTCATGGACCCGGACGAGATTGCGAGCTTTCTGGAGCTCAGCGAGCGAATCATCTTTCCAGCGCACGAAGAACGACGGCCGGCGGCGGAAGGTGCTGCGCCAGACCGAGGCGAGATGCCGATGACCCTTCGGGGGTGGAGCGGAGGCTCGGGAACGCAAACTTCGCCTGACGACCCTGGTGCTCAGCACGTGCAGGAGAAGCCGCCGCGTCCTGCTGCCGGAAAGAACGAGCAAGACGATATTCCAGATCGGGTGCACCACGCGGCGGCGGCGCATCTCCATCAGTATAATGACAACGCTCCCTTGTTCACCACCGCGGCGTCCAACGTCGACGAGTTGGTCCACCGTAGTGGACTCGTCGCTGCTGAATCTAGTAGTCCTGCCTCTTTGTTGGAGCTGAAGACCGGCACTGGTGTTGAGGACCAGCCCCGAGACAGTGTTCTTGGCGCACCACCTTCTGCAGGCGTAGGCACAGCAGGTGCGCAACTCCTACTTGCGCACCAAAGTACAGCTACTAACAAGGACCGTGGCGCCAGACAGGCCCAGCTGTTGGGAATGCTGATGCAGCTGGACGGGCGGCATGACGGGTACGCGTGGGTACCGGACGAAGGCGTGGAAGAACGGCAAGAAGAACAAGAAGAAACCGGGTTGTTGTCCCGTGGCTTCCTGTGGAGCGGCCACCTGGACTTGAGCGACGGGGAGTGGCTTCGCCAGCTACTCAGCACCCGCTGCAGCGCTGCGGTTCTGCGTACTAGTCGAAAAACAGGTAGAAGGGACCCGCTCGCCCGCGGCGGTACGTCGTGGGAGTACGTTATCTCACCAGGCTGGATGTTTTCGCAGGCCAGCTCCTTGTGGCCTTCCGTGCGAACGGTTGCCTGGGGCGCGGGGAAATCCGGGACCGGCCCCTGTATCTTTCCGGGAGTGTTTCCGCCCGGTGACGGTCCGCACAGCGCCGAGTGGGCTGCCTGCGGCGGTCCCGCAGCTTCCAGAACCGCAGAAGGTGTGCCGATCACCTCCGTGGAACTCGAAAGCGTGTTTGTAGGCGTCGACGAACACAGTTCGTCAACCAACCAAATGCTGGTCCTTCTCAGCTTCGATGCTGGAACATCGCAGGACACCGATGTTGAGCAGCCCGCTGGGCGTGCGAAAACCGGCTCGGTGCTTTGGTATGGGTACCTACCCGCAGGCGGCCACCCGCACATTGACACGGAGGCTCCCGCTTCGCAATCGACCTGGCTCGCTCCATCGCAGACGCAGCCTAGGTGCAGCGCTTTAGGAACACGCAGGGGCCACGGCGCAGGCCCCTTCGTAGCCCCGCCACTCAGTCAGAGCCAAATATTAGGCATAGCAGGAACGACGACCGAGACCTTGTACTGGTGCCCTGGTGCTGGTATTGGCACGGACGGGCCTAGTGAGTTGGAAGCTAGTTCCTTCTTGGAGGAAACCCCGCCTACAACAATAACTCAGATTCGTGGAGGTCGAGCACTTTCACCCACTTCGCAAGCATTGCTTGACTCAGTCACGAATGGGGGCAAAGACCCCGCGGGCTTTTGGACTGCATTGCGCGCGGCCTTCATAGAAAAACACCAGCAACAGCACGAGGACCACCAAACAGCGGCCCTGGAGGAGCTTCAAGAGGACCACGAGAAGAAGGCGGTTAGTGCGTCGGCTAGAAAGGGCAAGGGGAAAAAGGGAAAGAAAGTGAAAGGCAAAGGAAGCAAGAAGGGAAACAGCAAAAAGAAGGGCAAGGGAAAGGGCAAGAAGAGGAAGGGCAAGGGAGGCAAGAAGAAAGGCAAGGGGAAACAAAGAAAAGGAAAGAAGCGCGGGAAGGGGAAAAAAGGGAAGGGGAAGGGCAAGGCGGGCGCCGCGACCCGGCAAGGGGCGCCGCCGGAAGGCGAGGCCGCGAAGCGGAACTTGGTGAAGATCAAGTACGCGAAGAAGGATCAGAAGAAAGACCTGAACGTTTGCCGTAAGATTGTGCCCTCCAAGGAGGACAAGGAAGGCATCGTAAATAACATTAAGACTGAGGTGGTCATGCACTGGAGCACTCTCTCAGTGAGTGCGTTCGACGAGAACACGGGTGCCCTGCGCGACGAGGATGGCAGCCTGCTCGGCTCGGACCTGTACCCTGGCGAGAGGCCGCTCGGTTTGGTGTACAAGTACCTCGATGCCATCGGGGTGCAAGACCGAGACCTTGGGAAACTCAAGAGAGAAGGCGGCATGCTGGGGCGGTCCACTACCCGTCTGGCGGAGAGATTCATGCTGAAGGGCAATATCGCAGACTGCGCGAAAGTTACGCACGTCTTCTTCCTGGCCATTGCCTGGCGCATTGTAGATGCAATGAAAGCTTTTGCAGACTTTTCAGACTCTGCCGGCGAGGAGCTGTACGGGGAAATTGCTTCGCATTCTTCTCGCGAGAAGCCGTATCGACTGGCGCTCACCCAGCGCGCGTTTTGGAGCTTATGGGCTGGGCATACTGGTGGAGGTCGCGGGGACTCTACATCTTCCCCCGGAACCCCAACTAAAACAACGAACGCAGCCGCGACCTCCATCTCCAGTGCCACGCATGATCCCGATCCGGATTACCCGAGTCTAGCGGTGTTGTTTACGGGCTTCATGGGGGAGGGTCCGGAAGGCAAATACGTCGACGGCCCCGCAGTAGCGTTGTGTGAGGACACCGCGAAGCATAAACTTATTCCGTTCTGTAAAGGGCAGGGGCCGGGAGAAATTTTTCGGTCCCTTCGCACGTTCGTCAGCCTTGCTCGGGACCAGCTGAGGGAGCGGGCAGTGTCGTGGCTGAAAGACTACATTGAGTACTTGATGTCGCTTCCCCTGGGATACGACGTGGCGCGCGTGTGGAACTGGTATCCAAAAAAATTTCCCGCTCACGTGCGAATGCGGTTTCTCCTCTGCATGGCAGAACTTTCTCTCAGTCCTATTCAGCAGGACAGGTGGCAGGCTCTAGCTCAGCGAGATTTGTGATGTGTTTTTTGCGTGTGGTGCAGGAAATTTTCATTTCATAGGCGGCGACCGGAAGAACAGTGCCCGATACCAAGCTCTGGCACCCGGGCAATTGAGGAAGAACCATGCCCCTTGTTGTATAAACTGAACGAGCGGGCACTTCAAGATCTGGCGAGCATGCCATTCGCCGAAGACGCTGCCTGGGGTATCGGGGATGTTCCAATCCGGCAGCTGGTGCAGAAGACGAAAGAGGTGGAGGCCCAACTTGCCTCCCAGACCCCAATCGTGGAGCCCCCCCGAGGACGGAAGACCAGAAGCGAACAAAGGTTGTACGAATATTGCGTCGTGCGGCGTGACGCGAACGACTACAACAATCGCGAAATAAATGCCGCTCCAGCCTTTGTCTTTCCTTTATGGGGGCGTCAGGATCGAAATCGACAAAGTTGAAAGAATTTGCCATGATGCATATAAATGCAAGGCATGCGCATGAAGTGCCTGTCTTGCCGGGATGAGAAGCGAGGCAGATTGTGAGCCTAGTTAGGGTTTGGGATAGAGCTGCTAAAGGAGCATGACAAAAGCAGTCCTTTGCGCCCAAATAGCATGACAAATCGGATTCCGGTGCTCCGAAAATTTGTCATGCGCCGCTTCATAAGTGGGCTTCCAACTGATATCGGTTTTGTGCATTGCAAATTTTTCCAACTTTGACGATTTCGATCATCCTGACACTCCCATATCCTCTGGTTTATCAGTACAACAATTTTGTGGGTGAAATCGGGAACAGGGTCATCTCCATATCCTGTGCAAAAGTATCGCACTCGTAGTAAGAGTAATTGCAGTCATGCAGTACCATTTTTTTTCTTGAACTAAATCCGCATTTACAAATTTTATTTCTCATGCTGAGGAAATATTTTGTAATGCATTTATACGAGTACGATACTTTATTTGCACAGGATACTCCAGCAAGGACAAGAAGGCAGCTAAGGAAACGAAAACAGACGGCAGCGAGAAGCGGGGGGCTTCCCAGTGCGGGTACCACGGGCTTTCTGAAAACATAAACAAGGACAAGCAGCAGCAATTTTTCGGAAACATTGCAGACGCCCTCCGAATGCTCAACTACAATCCGACGACCTCTGCAGACCTGATGAAGGGCAACTATTTTTGGGGTAGTGTCGGGGAAGCGGCATACAAACAAGCGCCTTTGCCAGAGGAGTATAAGAGCCTCGAAGACAGTATGGAAGTGTCAGGCTTGAAATCGACAAAGTTGGAAGGGCAACGGTTTTGCAATTCATCAGATTTGTTGCAGCAGTGGGGCTCCTTAGTTTCTAAGAACCACTCCCCACGACTGCGTCGTGGGGCAAGGCTGATTTCAATTGTTGCTGGGCCAAGTTTGGAATTATTGGTTGCAAGTGCTTTCTACTGCTTGGCTAGTCTTAGTGAAAACAGGTAACCGGTAGTCATAGTCGTACTGGACGCCGTCGTCCGCGGCCTGGCTCACTAACCAAGCTCCAGGCAGAACTTACTTAAGTGCCAACAAGAAGCAAAAAAGTAAAAGAGAAAAAAAAAAAGCCACCTTCTCCAGGGCAGGGCATTTACCACAGCCGAAAAAAGCGCCTTTCAGAGGCAAAGCGCAGCACAGGCGCAGGCCTCTGCAAAGAATGTTGTAAACGCAGGCGCCATGGGCTTTTTTGTGATTCGCGACACAAAAAGCAACAGCACATTGTAGGCGAGCAAGAAGACAACGCGCGTCAGCGCCTGTCAGAATGTTTGTCGTTTTAGCAGACTAGCTTCAGACTCTTCAGAAGCTTTTGAGTCTTCAAAAGAATCTACAGAAGATGACCTCCAGAAGGCCGAAGCTTCTGAAGAATAGGAAAAAGCGCAAGCATAAAGCTGCCGCATTGGAGAAAGATTTGAAAAAGCTTCTGAAGGTTCTCAACCTTCTGAAGGTTGGCCAAAATTGCGACACTTCGCTGCCTTTTTTTGTCGAAAAAGTCGGCAGGCCTTCTGAAGGTCAAAAAGGTGCGACCTTCTGAAGCTTTTTAACCATCTGAAGAGTTGCAAAGCGGCCACTTTTGGCCTTCTGAAGGTTTCTTTGCTCATTTTTCATTTTTTCTTCTGAAGGCCAAAAAAAACCTTCAGAAGGTGTGACCTTCTGAAGGTCAAAACGGTCACGGTTACAATCGACTATATTCCCGCTCAAAAAAGGTGGCTCTTTTTTCAACTCTTCTTCGGAAGCTCTGCAGAAGAAAAACCTTCTGAAGAATCAGCAGCAATTGGCTGAAGCTTTGCTTCTATAGTTATTAGACGAGACTCGACTAGCTTCGCCCGCTCGGTTTGACATCGCAAACTTGCGCTAGAAAGAGCAATTTTCACAGAGTTCACAGTCTGGGGCGGGGAAGCAGCGCACGGGGCAGCGCGACGTAACTTGGCATAAACTGCAAACGGCATCTGATCTGGAAGCGATTGACACCGCGACCCGAGCGCACGACGCGCGGGGCGGTAAATCATGCCTGGCAGGGGACACACCTCGGGCAGATTCCGCGTGAACATGCATGCGCGCCGCCACCTGCTCCCGCTAGGGGGACGGCGCACACTTGCATCAGGCCGAGCCCTCTTTTGAAAGAAGATAGAAGTCGAACGCCTTAGCCCCATGCCCGATCGCTCTAGGTACTTAGCAGGCGCTTGGATCTCCGCCGTAGGCTTGGAGTATTGACTTGATTACGTTCTTAAATTGGCTGCGCTAGTGGCCCGCACTTGAATCGTCGAGCCGTGGATCGTTTTAGACCGTAGATTGCCGGAGAGCGGAAAACAGCCGCGGTAGGCGCGTAGGCCGCTCATGATGAAAGTCTTGTCTTATATATCGCATGCCCTCGGCCATGCGCATCCTATTTCCAAACAGCGACCACCTATTTCCGTCTCACCCATGCAGACTGCACTCAGAGCGTTGGTTGTCAGTGCGCCTCTGTTGTCATCTTCGTGCATTAGTTTAGATCTATGATCGCCGCCAGCACTTTTATTTTTTTCCTCCAGCAAGCTGTCTCTTTTTCCTGCTACGCTTTTATTTTCTAGTTTCTTGAAGACATTCAGATACTTAGCCGCCACGCACACAATGTCGAAGGAGGAGCATGGTTCGGGCGAGCGCGGCCGATTTGCGCCAATTCGCCGGGATGTCATTTACCACCGGCGCACGGGTGCGCAGAAGGAGCACAGGGAGCCGAACGCTAGGGGGGTTGCGGCGGAGTACATTTGGGCCGGGGATTCGAAGGCCGCCAGTGGCCACATTGTGTCGTGGTTTTTCACCTCGCAG